GAAGAAAATTTGAAATTTAAATCATGTTCATATATAAATGTATATATATAACGAATTATAATAAACTTAATTACTTACTACAAGATCGTATATTACAGTAATTTGTAATATGAAAAAATTATATAAAATTCAATGGAAAATAGCAAAAAATGTATAAATATGATTTAATTTAATCTTCATAAACATTCATAAAATATATGGCTCTAATAAAATAATATAAATTTGATAATTCTAATATCTCAAAATTAGACAACTATGTAACTATAAAAACGACATCCATGCAAATTTCGAATAGGCAGGCATGCGAGTTCGTTATTCCTGTTGCTGCTTTCGATTTTCTCTATTCGTTAGCATCGCATTAATTATAATATGTATGCCGCAGTGGCTGAGAATTTAAGAGAGGAAAGATTTTACACGTAATCCGCGAATACCAGAAGAATTTCTCGAAAAGAAGGAAAGTAAACGTGGCTGCTCGAGTATTGTGATATTTTAAAAATACGGAAAAGAATATAGATAAAAAAGAATTTCTAATATGCCTATGATATTGAGCAACATTGTGTCGTGATTTACTTCTCTGCCCGTTTAACTTGTCGAAAATCTTAATGTCATTGCATACACTTTGATATAATTTATATTAAAATAATACAACTAGTTTCTAAAAGCAATAACTAAATATAAGCGTCACATTTAACAAAATACAAAAAAAATAATGTCGTTATTGAGAATGCTACCAACATGTTTTTTATCGCGTGATATTTATGCGTTGTACAAGACAGAAAAAGAATAATAGAAATGCCAATATAATATAATATAGATATTGTTTTTTTCTTCAAATGTCTGAATTCATTATAATAATAATAAAATAAGTATTCATATGGACTTAAAGAAATCTATTAACTTCTTAAGGATTCTTTGTGAATGAGCGAACAAATTTCTTACGCGTTCACTCACTCTATTCTTCAAATTAATTAAAATTGTTTACAATTCTTGTAAAATTGTGAATAAATTATCGCGAATTATTATTTCTCGTTAATATTATTAATCTTAATCTAAAGATCTATTATTAATGCATTGATATTCTTAAAAATTCGATTTAATTATTCAGTTTTTCTTTGACAATCTCACGGATAAATAAATGAAAACTTTAGTATTTTAATAAATTATTTGTTATACGACATTTCTTAGGCAATATTAGCCTTAAATTCTAAACAAAATAAAATGAAATAATTATCTTTTTATCGAATCGGTTTAGTTGTTCTTTGAATTTTAAATGAGACATACTTTACGCTTGTCGATCAAGTTTGATTAAATTTGCCTTTATAATTAAATTTCCTCTTCATAGTATACGATATGAAATGAAAGTTTATATTGCATTTAAATGTTAATTTACACAAGCATAATACAGCTATACTCTATTAAAATAATTTAAACATACTCTTTTTTATATATGTTACAAAAATTTTAATGCCACTTTTAAAGATTATGTGGAGATTATTCATCTCGATAAGCATTCACTAATTAACGAATATAAGGCATGAATAAATGCGAGTGTGACTATGTCAAATTAATATGGCACGCGATGGAGGATTAGAAATATTCGAATGTAGAAATATCCTGAAGCGGATAGCAACTAATAGTAAACGTGGGCCGGGCTGGCAAGTAAAAGTTGTCAATTTTTTTATTCGCGTGGACAAGATTTGGCGATCGTTATCAACCGGCCATCGCTAAATACAAATTTGGATTAATTGTTTCGATAGATAACGAAATAGTGGGTCAGCGGACTCAATCCAACCACCTGCTGAGCGAGGAATAAAATATATTTTCTAACAACAACAACAACAACAACAACAACAACAACAACGATAACGGTAACAACGATAATAACAATAACAATATTAATAGTAACAGTAATAATATTAATAATAATATAATGATATATAAGCAACAATTTTAATAGGTAAAATCGTATGAATTAAGTTAGCGATTGATTTTCAAAAATAACTATATTTTTCATGTACATTTTGTATTTTACTACGTCTGTAATACTTCTGGAATATTTTGTAATCTTAGCTTCGAAAGCTTCGTATAATATTAGTCAAATTTTATATAAAGAAAAAAATTATAAGAAAAGAAAGCAACAAATTTTTATCGAAACTTCCTAATTGATTGGCAAATATTTTAAATAAATAGCAGCACAAAACTTAATAAATCGATCGATACGATCGATAAGTTTCAACCTTCATCACTGCCTATATAAAAACGACTTTAAGCGTTCCTTTAACTGTAAAAATTATATTTTGGCGCTTTTCTATTGTTAATATAAAAATCTTATACAACTTATTTCATATTTCAAACATTATATTCTCAATTTATTATATAAATTAAATGTACACATGTACAAAACCACATTAATACGATGTTTGTAAACTCGCTATTTTGCCAATAAACATTATTCGATTTCAATAGATATTTCCATTAATCCTTATAAATATAGTTTACTCTATTAATTGTCGTATATTTATGAAATTTAGAAAAACAGTAAAATCCATCGATAAAATTATTACTTAAAATCAACTAGTAATCAAGTGTACAATTATCATTCCGTAATTTTTTACTGTCAGAGTTCTATATACATAATCATTTGATTAACATTAAATATGAATTTAAAGCCGATGATAGATTATAACGGCGATGTTAATGAAAATTATGTGTTTAGTGAAAGTTTTGTATTTTTATTGTTCTTCGAAAAGAAAAAAATTAACAGACAAATGTAAATACACGTGTATAGTATATATAATATACTTTTTTACTTTTATTTGTATGTATGTATGTATATATATATATATATATATATATATATATATATATATATATATTGTTGCATATTTAAAACAGTTAGGTCGGTAAGCAAACATTTTGAGCATTTCTTCATTTGCAAAATATACTTTACACATGAATTAAAAATACCGTTAATTTCACTTTTTAACTGGTTCTTCTTTTTAACTTCTTGAAAGAACCGCAAATGAACAAGATAACCAGACAGAAAGAATGAAAACATAAAGGTTTTGTTTTCAAATGTATACTAGTTTTGCGTACGTCGTAAAATTTTGTGCTTTTTATAAAATTCTAAGAAAAACATGTACATTTTTGACAAAAAAATTTTCATAAATAAGAAAATAATTTATTATTATGTTTATTTTTTATTTTGTGGTTAATCTATAATTTTTTTAATTATCAATTTTCGTAATTTAATATTATTTAGATAATAATTTTCCTTTTTTTACGTAGGAATTTAGTTCTAGTTTGTGAAATAGTAATAAGTAATACGTTTTTCCAATTATACATATTATAAAATTATGAAGTATTTAGTAATTTATACGTAATGAAGAATTTCCTTAAAGTATCATTGATACTAATTTAAACTCGACGAATAAAGAAACAAAAGAGAAAAAATAATAGCTTATTTAAATTTCATTAATTATTGTTTACGTTCTTTAGAATTAATTATGACTATACTAATACAAATGATACTGAACTTTATGAAAGATAGAATGAAAATATTATCACAAAAAAGGAAGACAACAATGTTTTATATACTTTATAAAAAAGATAAAACTGTAATTGTACGCTGTGCAAATATATATATATTGCGTTTGCAAAGAATATGCTCTCTTTATATCTTAACGATAAAAAATTAGCTAAATTTAGGTATAAATTCCTCTTCTCCGTTAGTATTATAATGTAATAAAAGTCATTTTATCGAGATTCTTTCTCTTCATCATCTTTCTCTACGGGCGACGTAGATTTCTAAATAGTTGTACAAATAAAACGTCTATGTAAAGAAAATATAATCTATCTGTTCTAGACTGATGTGAATGTTTAAACAACTATGTAATAAACAAGAACCTATTGTACAAGTATTTGTATACAGCATGTTTATTTTATGCTGCACCGTCATTAAGTAAAATAATTTTATGGAAAATAGCACGAGTAAATGCATAACATCGATTACAATTGTGAATGAATTATATATTATAGAATTGGAATATTTTGAAGTAAACAAATAATTAATAACTATGACAAAATACAATATTAAATAATTCATATGTCTCCAATATATATATATATATATATATATATATATATATATATATATATATATAGGTAATTCAAATAAAAATTATCCTAATTACAGACATGAAATTTTATACTGAAATCAATAGCAATAAATATAATTAGTCTTATTAATTAATGAGTTAACATTGAGGAAAAATCTAAATAAATCGACAAAGTACAAATGTATAAACAATATTTTATATGAAATTAGCAAAAGTATAATGGTAATTTTACAAATTTAATTTACAGAGTCTATATTTTGCGTTATTATAAAGAAATATTTTTTACACTATATACATAATTACATGTTCATTTCTTTTAATTAACAATAATGTATTAAAAATGATAATCAATTATAAAGTAAAGTATGTTAAAAAATGTCCTTTATATTTTTTAATCTTATAATAAATAGTATGAATTGTAAATAGAATAAGTAATAATCAATCTATTCATATATAACAATTCATGAAATTGATAACGGTAAAAGAATAAAAACATAATAATAATAATAATACTAATAATAATCGTAATCGTAATAATAAATAATTAAAATCCTAATAATAAATAATAACAATAATCATAATAAATAATAATAATTATAGCAATAGTTTTAATAGCATTGTAATAATATCATTATTCGATGTGTGTGTGTGTGTGTGTGTGTGTGTGTGTGTGCGCGCGCGCGCGTGCGTGCATGTGTGTGTGTGTGTGGGTGTGGGTGTATTTATGTGTGTATGACTCTTGGAAGCCGAGTATTTACATAGAAATAATTTATATAAAAAGTTTAATATGCAATGTGCCCAAATGAACTTTTATCGTTCGACCGATCTTTACGTGCATTGTCACAATAAATGTGCTTAACAAATCACATTTCTGTCATAACGTTATAAAAATTTCTCCTTCTCCTTGTTGCACGAGAAATTCTCATCTCCTTGTCGTTGGCTAAAGCAAGCGGCAAGAGCCTCGCGTGACGACGCGAAATTACTTCCCAGATGAATACCACAAGATGGGCAACTGTGAATGGCATCTCTCAGCAGTTTAGAATAGTAGGGCAAGGCGCACAAACTGCAGAGGAAGAAGAATTTTTTATGTGAATATTATCGAATGAAACGAATGTAAATAAACATTAAAAAATTTTAAGCGATTAATCGCGAAGGCAAGAGTGCGTGATTAAAATTATTTTTACATGAATTTTAAGCAGATTGTTTATTTCCCCTTTGCAGATGAAGCTTGCGATTTGAATAATAATAAATAAATAAATAAAAAGCGATGCGATGTACATTAAGAAAATAATCAAGCGTTAAACTAAGATTTGTAATTGGCATTTCACCTGATTTAGTTTTACATGTTTTTAACCTAAAGTCCTAATGCCTGCTTTATATATTTTTATCAATAACATTTAGGTTTAGTGCAAAAAGAAAATTAATTACATTACTGACTCTGAGATATAATATGAATTGTCGATGTAACTCTTTCTTCATTCAGCGAATGAACTTTTTTTATTTACAATTGTACAAAGTGCTCTGAATATTTATCGATATAGACGAGATTTAAAAGCTGCTTTGATTCTACAATATCTGTTTATTTATCTGTAGTAGATAATTATAGGCTATAAACTTTCTAAGCCCCTAAGCGACAGTACTTAAATTTTTCATATTTTGAAATTACGTTAATTAAATGTCTAGTCAATATTAAGAAATTATACTTCTTTTTCTTTTTTTTTTTAATACACTTATATAATTGGACGACTTGATATTTGCAAAAAATATTGTAAACGTTGGATAAATTTAATTTAATTTTAAACAAATGGCTTAATAGCGTGTAATTTAATTGTTCGAAATCAAAATTAATTTCTTAAACTGTAATGTAACTACATTGTAATTCATTATAATTTGCGAGACTTTATGTTAGAAAGAATAATATTTATTATTATACTAATTTTTCTTACTAATTTCTCAACGGTATTACAACGGAGTTCGACAATCGTTTTTTTTTTTTTTTTTTTTTTTTTTTTTTTTTTTGTATTATAATATTATATCAATTTTCCGTTTAAAATGATTACACATATTTATTCGTAAATTACTTGAAAAACTTGGTTAAAACAAAATTATATAATTATATTACGTCAATTTGAATTACGCTCAAATTTTTTTTTTTTTTTTTTTTGAAGCAAAAATAACGTAACGCATTTCCAAATCATATAAACGTATAAATTATCGACAGCCATAATAAGAAATGTCGTTATAACAGTATATAATTCTCAGTAATATGTAACATACATTTGAATAATAATACATCAATTAGAAACAATTAAAAATTCTATTATATATCCGTAATCTTTACAAATATTGTCATTAATGTCAATTCATTTAATTTAATAATATTGCCCAATGATTGATAAATTTTCTTTGTTCAAATGTCATAATCGATATCGTTAAGGGTAGAGAATTGATGATTGCACATTAGATAAACGAATATATAAACTCTCTTTTAATTTTGTTGTCATAGTATCTTTGCATTATCATGGGACGTTGCAGTGACTTTTATTAATACTCAATTAGCCGCGCGCTTATAAAAAGTATAAACTGTATGGACGATAAATGCAATTCATAATTGTAGGGAAAAAAAAATTTCTTTCGACACAGTTGCATTATCATTGTATTAAGTGCGCAAACACTTTTAGCTTCGAATATTAAATACACTTTTAAATACACGATCGTTCGAAGCTTAATGGCCATCTCAATTTTGCCTTATCCCTTCCTTTTTTTACAAATATAATTATTTTTTTTTTTTTACAAATTTTTACAAACATAATTGTACAATAAATTGTTGAAGAGTAAGTAAAGGACGAACGACGAACGTTTGAATTAAATTATCATGCCCTCTGCACGCACTTACGCGGTACTTAACGACAACTTAACAGGCGTAAAGCACAATTTCCACGAAATGAATGAAGTGACCAGTGGAAGCTCCAAGCTCCGTTACCGCGACTACATCAAAATGTCTATCAATTGACAATTACGTAAAATTATTCTCGCCATTATCAACCAGCCAAAAAGAAAAAAACAAAAAAAAAAACAAAAATCCAAAAACATAAGAAATAGCAACAAAAAAAAAAAAAAAAAAAAAAAAGAAGAACGATAACGATTGTCGAACTCCGTTGTAATAATTTTATCTAATAAGGCTCCAATGAGGCTCCAATGAGGCTCCAATGAGGCTCCAATGAGGCTCCAATGAGGCTCCAATAAGGCTCGTTTCTTAAGCATACCAAACTGGAAGTAGGAGCAACGCTGACAAATGGGTCGTGGATGTATTGCGCCTCTCAACGATCGTCTCGACACCTCGGAGGCAATTCGGACATGTCACCATCGCTGGCTCTCTGCGCAAAAATGTGTGCTCTATTCAGTCGTTAATAATTAGCCGTTAAATAAGGAGCTACGAGCCTCGGCCTCGAGCCAACTATTTACCACGGATAAAGAGCTTGGACCTGCCGGTGCGCTTGTTGCAGATGGGAGGGACGTCGCCTTTGAAGCTGGGGATCACCGCCCGGTGGTGGTCGGGCCTCTCGTCGTCGAAGTCGCCGTCCATCGCTGGAGGCGCGATCACCTAACCTCGCGTCGGTCAGCGATCCGATCGGCAGGATGAATAGGCGCACTTCAGCTGATTAGGAGCGAGCACGAGTTGACGTCGGCGAAAGTAATCGCCGAGGAAGTAAGGCACAGGACGGACAGCCTCGGGGCGAGTCGCGAGGCCTCGGACGCCGTCGGGGCTCAGCAGACGGCGACGACTCGTGGGGTCCAGACGATCCTAACCTCGCGGGGCCTGGTGTGGCTGGGGAACGACGAAACCGTAGCCGCCAAGACCTTTGGGGAAAATCGCGAGCCGATTTCCAAGTATAGCCAGGCGACGCCTGTGCATCCGTCGACCTCCAGGGTCTCGCAGATTAACCACAGGTGAGCAACCCGGAGTTTTGCTCGGACGGCAAATGTCTTATGCGCGAGGAAATTTCATTTACGATGAAGCGCGTCTGCGAGAGGACGAATGTCAATGACGTTGATATCGCGGAATTTAGCGAGCTTAACAAACGATTATTAATAAGACGCGGTCCGTTTGGATTTGTTCGTGGCACTGCTCTCGGGGCCAAATTGAAGGCTCAACGGCAACGAAACTTTAGCACGGTAACTTAAGGTACCAAACTTATATCGATAGCTCTTCATTTTATTATTTTTGGTAAAATTAACTGTTAATCCGGAGAGGTGGAGCTGTGTGACACAATAACAACGTGGCTATCCTCTAATGCGTGCTAAATGTCATTATTCTCAGTCCCGTCCCAATTTAAGGCTATGTGAGGTTTATTCATTAAAATTGTATTTTATCTAATTACGTGAAGAAAAAAAAAAAAAAAAAAAAAAAAAAAAAAAAAAACTCGACGGTACAAAGAACAATGTCTTAATATGTTTAAAATATAACATATTATTACATATTAGTTTATTATTATCATTATTATCATTATTATCATTGTTATTATTATCATTATTATTATTATTATTATTATTATTATTATTATTATTATTATTATTATTATTATTATTATTATTATTATTATTATTATAACGTGTCGTACGGAGGCATTGGAGTAAACTGTTTTAATCGTATTATAAGACACTATTGTCGCTTACGCTAATGTCAGGGGAATTATTACTTGACATATCCCATAATTACATGGCAAATGTGAGATAATAGTTAACATTTAAATATCTATTTTCCTTTATATTTGTTTGTCTAAAACTTTCGGGTTTCTATTAATACACATAATCAAATTATCAAATGATTATCGTCATCACAATCACTAAAGATAATTGCAAAATTTTTAATATCGTTAAATAAACAATTGTTCTATTGATTTTATTATTAATCGATAAGCTTATATAATCGATAAAATTACTTGTCATATAATATGCAAATTATTGAAGAGGTGAAAAAGAAAAGTCATAAATAATTCGTACATGCTTTTTTATTATTTTTTTTAAATATAAAAAATTCATAATTCTTTAATCATCAAGCGCTTTATAAAATATTTTTGCCTCATTATTCTTTCATCAAGAAGTAATGTTTATACAACAACAACAATAATAATAATAATAATAATAATAATAATAATAATAATAATAATAATAATAATAATAATAATGATAATAATAATAATAATGATAATAATAACAATGATAATAATGATAATAATGATAATAATAAACTAATATGTAATAATATGTTATATTTTAAACATATTAAGACATTTTTTTTTTTTTTCGTGGGTTTTTTTTTTTTTTTTTTTTTTTTTTTTTCTTCACGTAATTAGATAAAATACAATTTTAATGAATAAACCGAGTACTAAATAAAAGTTTTTACTACACTTAATGGACAAGTATTTGTATTTCATCCGCTCGCAGGTGTAGGCATATAAAATTCTATGTATTTTTTTCTAATATACATATACTTAATATAAAAATGTTAACGTGATTATAAAATAAATAAATAAATAAATATATTTTATTTATATACTATAATTGCACTTTTGGATATGTTTACGGGGCACAATATCATTATATTAATTCTTACAATCGACATTAAAAATAATTAGTCGCTTATATTCGCAATAACATAAAATAGAAAATTTGCTTTTTACTAATATGCCCTAATTAAAGTATAAGAATATTCTTAAAATTAATTGCTTTAACGAGTAAATAGAATTATTCGTAAGAATATTTCTTTTCAAGTACGTATTAAGGCTACGTTTGCTACTTTCATTATAATACGGCTTTGCGCGCTAACGATACTAGTTACATTACAATTGTACCGCTATATGTAAAGCGAATATTTAGGAAATTTCTTTAAAAAGCTTTTTCTTCTGGAATGTAATAAATTTCTTCACGATTTAATTCTGCAGCATATTCTGATTTAACAGCTTCTTATATCGCTCGACCATTGGCTTGTAAATCTATTGAAAATTTAAGTTGTATAGTACGATTATAAATTCACACAACTTATATTATTTTATATGATAAGATTTTCACTTATTTCATGTAAATCCAAAAATTCTTTTTTCATTGACAAAGTATGATTTTATAAAAGCTTGAAAATTACCCAACTCTCTGTCAATAACAAATTAAAAAGTTTTATTTTTATCAATAGTCACAATCCGTCATAATGAATATTAATTAATAATTATTATATTACCAACATGATTATATTATATTTCAAATATCAGTAATTTACAAGTCATATTTACCATAATAAGAAATGTCATCAATTACAATTAATTAGCAAGCAATTTGAAAAACTTACACGATCTGCATCGTCATGAGGTCGACACAGAAGCTGAGGTTCCGGCAAACTATTCAATATATCATCGAATTTATATTTGTCTTTTAAAAGTCCGTGTTTTGCTCTATAAGCTCCTCCCATCATTGCTGAATTCACTACTTCCTAAAATAGTATAAACAACTGTCACGGTTACTTTCTTCTAAAGCAACTATGTTTTCATTTTAATGTATTATAGTTATTTGTTAATCATTCGGCTATTGATGTTAGATTATATGATTATAAACGATAATGTTAAATAATCTTACTGAAACATGTACAGGAGAATTGAAAACATCCGAAAGAACTTGAAGAATTGTTTTATTAGTCGAAGCTCCTCCAGTTGCAATAATCCGTCTCTTTGGGCCTATAAGTGTTTTTAAGAATTATTATTATTATAGCCAATTGTATTTGACACGAGTAATAATAGTGTGCGAGATAAATCGAGAAGTAAGATAGGAGAAAAAATGCAACGGAATTGATTGAACGTTCAGTCATTACCGCACGGTAATTAAAAGCAATTCGATTAGATCGATAATCCGAGTAAATAGAAATAAAAAAATTCGCTAAGCCGGTCGATAATGAAGCCCGCGCGAGAAACCAAACGGTTTGTCTTTGATAATAATAATAATCCGTGACCCCAACGCGCCTGAACACCGGCATTTTTACACACACGAGGACCTAAGAGTAAATAAATGACGTTGCGAATTGTCATCTTCCACTTAGGATTAGGTCGGAATTAAACGTAAAAGAATCAATAGATTTCGGTAGTATGCGATTCGAATATGTAACTTTTGAGTCCGTTTGCAAATATTCGAAATATTAAATATGCCTCCAACGAGCATATGCTCCTTTAATACCAAATATAGTTATTACGAGTTAAAAGTGTATCGACAATGACATATTGATTTAATGAAAAAAATCTTTATTTCGAGATTACTTTTAATATTTATCATAGTGTAAGTTTTGATATTGTTATTATCGGTGATTACATTTAAGAATTAAAGACCACCTGTGCATTGACATTAACCATACCACTCTTTCATTTCAAAATTAATTTTTCTTACAAATTTTAATAAATGTAATGAATTCCTTGTTATATATACGTCTGTTAATTATTTAAAATTCTTAAAAAGAAAGAAAGAAAAAAAAAAGGAAAATCAATCTTTTACAAAAGAAGTGTAAAATTAAAAGTAACGAATATCAAACAAATTCAAACGATACTATTCAAGTTAATTAAAACTTTACTACTGCTATACTTTAAACTTTAAACAATTGAAATTCATATTTAACGGTGAAAATGCGTCGAACAAAACAAATAGAATTGCGATACAGAACATCATCTGCTATGTATGAGAATAACGTAACAGTTGTTAGTCGTAACTGTTTTTATAATATATGAAAGCTGTCGAAAGGTCAAAAACAATCGTGACATTTCATTTTAAGTTAAACTATATTACATTCATTTAAATATTCAAGTATATTTTCCAATCTTGTTGGTAATAAATTAATTTTTCAAATATTTGCGATTTTCCCTATTAAATATTAATGATTCCATTCAAAAAAAAAAAAAAAAAAAAAAAAAAAAAAAAAAAAAATGTAAAAAAATATAGAAACAATACATTAGAAGATATGATTAGAGGTGCCCGTATGATCTCGACATTGACCTTCTTAATTTTATTGTATTTTGATTTAAAAACAAAAATAAAAAAATTTAAATTACTTTAAAATCAATGTTTTTATTTCATCATTCGCAATACTACTGTTTATATTATGTATTTTATATTAAAATTTCGCGTCCACTTCGCATGACGATCTTATTATAATTTTTAACCTTAAAAATACAAAATTCACATATATTCTTAAAAAGAAGAATTTTCGATAAAAATTCTTTTTTACAAACCCTGAGAAATTTGTCTGTTATGACAATTATAATTACAAACACAGCTACTATAATTTAACAATATATCATAATTTCATTAACCAATGAACCGACAATTAACTTGGCAATGTTGATATATTTTTTGTTTTTTTTTTGTTTTTTTTTTTTTTTGTTTTAAATAGCCTCAACTCATAAAAGCATTAATACCGTTAAACACTCCAAACGAAAACTCCCCCCTCCCCACCCACCCACCCACTAGTATCAAAATAAAGATTAACCGACATCGAACATAATAAATCAAATGCGCTCGATTAGTCGCTCCTTACCAATAACAAGTCCGAAATCCTCGGCATGCGCCCTCCTCGCGATAAACTGGCCCTCAACCAGGGCCCGCACCTCCACCTCTTTCGAACTATAGCGGACAATGCGCTCGTTGGTCTTGTTGAAGCGATGATCGCCCGAGATCCGCGATATTATCTCCTCTGCATCGTGGTAGAAGGCGCAGTTGCCGAAGTTGCCCCGAGGCGTATTGTCCAGGAGTTCGTTGAATAGACGCCAGTCGGCCCCGGCCGCACTGTTGCGTATCCGCTCCCGGGTCAGCGAGCCATTTCTAAAGCTTCGATGGAATTTTCATCATCATTCACGAGATGATTTAAAAGCCATTTTGAGATTTGCGTTTATTATAAGTACATTGAGCATGCAGATTTTAAACGAGTCGTTATTTTATTTTTTGTAACAAGCTTCATTTATTTGAAAGACATAAAAATCGAATCGCCAAATGTGTGAAACGGTGATTCGTGAGTAGCGATTACTTTAATATAAGTATCAATGATTACGAGACTCTCAATAAGCTTTAGATTGACTCAACTGT